CACTCGTGTTTCTTCATGTGTGATTAGTTGTCCTTCACATAATTGAATTCTTAGTCTTGCTCTTTGACTGTTTGAGACTTGAATGATGCATGTTGCGAAAAAATGATTGAAATTTCCTTGTAGAGAATAGAGCCTCCACATTCTAGGCCTACATAATTTTTTTTTTATTTTTCATTCACCCGTACGTTGAGCCAATTTGAGTCGTGTTTTAACCCCTTCTTGATACCCTACGTTTAAAGCCCTAGAGCTATTTTCCTAGGTTTATTTTGAAGGAGCATTACACTTGTAAAGCCCTATGAGTGATATATGAAAAAAAAAGAAAACAAAAGTGATAAAAAAAAAGAAAAAGAGAAAGAAGGGAATTGATTTATTAGAAGGAAGGAAGGAAGGAAGGAAGAAGAGAAAAGAAAAGAAGAAAAAAAAAGGGGGTGTTGAACTTGCATACACCCTTACCTCGAATTAAAGAGTTTAAAGTCTTCCTAAATCCTAATTTGCTATGAATCCCTTTCTTTTTGCAAAAGAAAAAAAAATGAATGAAAAAAAAAGAAAAAAAGAAAAGAAAAAAAAGAGAAGGAAAAAGAAAGAAATAAGGGGCTATGCTTATTTTGTATGAAGTTGGAGGAAATAAGGAGGGTTTGAACCCAACATTTGAATGTGTAGTGGGATTAGGATTTGTTATGTTTTTTTTAGCACCACATTCCCAAATAACGTCCTCCAACCCTTGTTTACCAAGCTTACCCTTTATGGATTTCATGATTTTCGTAATTGCATCAATCATTAGAAGTGGAGAAAGTCACATTGCAAGCCTAAAGAGGACAATTCATGTGAAGTTGACATGCATTCTATGCTTAGGTTGAGTGATATCGTATTTCACCCCATAAATACATGAGCGTTATTTGTTTTTTATTTTTCACAACTAAAGTGAGAGCTATTCATGTTTGTGTGAGTTGGTATGGGGAGATGTGTGGTAAGGTGTTTGTCGATTCCAAGTTTAAGAGGTTTATGGTGGTTTTATGCATATTAAATCTAATTTTTGTTTTCCTCGTGATTTCAAATTGATGGCACATTATGATGGTTTGAGAAGTTGTCTTTCTCCTTCCTTGTGATTCATGGTTAAATGCTTGAGGACAAGCATTAGTTTAGCTTGGGGGAGTTTGATAAGTCGTGTTTTGTGCATATTTGTTAGCTTATTTTTAGTTGGTTTTATTAGCTTAGTCGAGTGTTTTAGTCTATTTTGGAGTAATTTAGTTTAGTTTCGATGATTCGATGCTTTTATGGGTAGTTTCGTTGTTTTTGATGTATTTCAGGATTAACGGAGCTAATTTGGATATTTTACGAAGTCACGAAGCTAAACTGAGGTCCACGAACCTTCACGAGGCTTGTTGATTGAAGAACGCGCTATTTAGGGACTTTTGGAGTGAGGCACGTCCGTGCCTAGCAGAGGCACGTCCGTGCCTCCAAGTCAGTTTACATAGCTATGAGCTTCGACATTAGGCACGTCCGTGCCCATGACTGCAGAATTACACTCGTCAAGAGGCACGTCCGTGCCCAGCATAGGCACGTCCGTGCCTGGAAGTCAGAAGCCAAGGAAGTTTGCACTCGATCAAAGGCACGTCCTTGCCTCCTGGGAGAATTATGCGCCAAGTCTTTTGAGCGTTTTATTATCTTTCTAGGAATATAAATACACTAAGTATTGTATTATTTCATCATGAAGTTTTTATTAGTCTCTAGTTCTCTCCATTAATTTGCTTTCCTTTTGTAATTCAAGATTCAAGATTTCTACTTTCCGTTTTCCATTCAATTCAAGATTCGGTATTTTCTTTTCATCTTTAATTTTCTTAATTATGTTTTCCTTAATTATTTTTTTTATTGTTTATTTCATTATGAGTGAGTAGTTTGTTTATTCCAAGATCTAGGGTAGCCCAATTATGATTGATGCATGAATTAATTTTTTAAAATTCTCTAATGACTTTTGTAATTGCTTATGCTAAATTGATTGTGATTATGCCAATACTAGATTAGAGATAATTAGTATTGTTATTATTCCATTGTTTCTATCAGGACGAGAGTTGGGTTTAAACGGAATTGGGTAGATCAATTTAGGGTTTGAGATTCAACATGAGAATAGTTGGGTTGATAATTGGGAAGTTAGAGTAATGTGTTTAATGTCTCTAATTTGTATGATACCATGAGAATAGGCTTGATTGTATGTTAGGGAAGCCATTGATACTTGAGAGAGGTCTTTGGTATTGATTAGGGTTTACTTTTCCCTATTCGATTGGAATCGTATGTTAGGGGTAGAAATATAATTGCATCGATTGTAATTGTGGTGATACTTGATCTTGGATGTTTTAGTTATTTGATTTATCATACTCGTTCAATTTGTTCTAGTTTTCCATACTTTAGTTTCAGATTATTCCACCATTGTTGATCCTTGCTTAGTAATAACTTGAGTCTAGATAATTTTAGGTGAACCATAGTTTCTGTGGGTTCGACCCTGACTTGCCCTGCTACATAGTTAGGAGGATTAGTTAGGTTATTTTTGCTAGGTGTGCGACCGCCTATCAATATATATATGTTAATGTTTCTATATCAATTTAAGTGAAAAAAATGCAAAAAATTTTATTTTTTTTATTTTATTTTTTTGGGGTATTTTTGGCTATTTTTTGGGGTATTTTTGGCACCGGTTTTGACCAGAACCGGTGCCAAAAGTTTTTAAAAAAAAAATTTTGACACTTTTGGCACCGGTTCAAAGCAAGAACCGGTGCCTAAAGTGGGGTTTTTTGCACCGATTCTTGCTTTGAACCAGTGCCAATAGTATTGAAAAAAAAAACGTGCCATAGTAGTTGGCACCGGTTAACCGGTACCAAATGCTTTAGTTGGCACCGGTTTTGAACCGGTGTCAAATTTTCATGGATTTGGCATCCCTCAAATACCCAACGGTTCAAAACCGGTGCCAAAGGGGGGGTTTGAACCGATGCCTTTTTATCTTTTTCGTCTAGTGTATTTTAATTGTCCCTCTACCCGGGACTGGTTAAGTAAGACCATGAGCTTTGTATGGTTTGGCCTTTCCTCGAGTATAGTTTAACTTGATTAGGGGGGTGTGCACACGTAGGTGAGGAAAATTGATTTTGGAAAGTGACCTTTGGCAAGTTTGAATTGGAATAATTATTTCGAAAGCATGTTTGTCTAATAAAAGCATTTACATGCCTTGCACTTATATGTACTGATCGTTTTTGCTAATCCGTTTTCCTTTTTGTTTTGGTTCGCCCTGTTTAACAATATTGGTAAGCAGTTTTGATTTCAGGTGTGGAGTTGATCGTGCGCATACTTGAGTCGGGATTGGGATCACTAGTTAGTAATTTAATTTACTCATTCATGAGTCAGACATGTTTTTTTTTTGTTTTTTTTTATTTGGAGTATTTTTGAACTCTATATTTTAGTTATTATAATATTAATTAAAGTCAGTTATTTTTCGCTGCCATTTTTAGTAGTTAAGTAAGCCTTACATTTTCACATGGCGGTAATACGCCCAAGTCTACCTCTACGGGTTTTTTTACGATTAAATATAGTATTTACTTAGAGGGAGATTTGGGGGTGTTACAACTGCATGCATTTAGGGGTGTCAATTCAGGTAAACGGTTCAGTTTCGGGTTGGGTTTATCGGTTTTGGGTTATAATGGATCGGTTTCTAACGGGTTGAAATGATTAGTGGGTCGGTTTGGATTGGTTTTGAAAATTATCGGATCAGTTCGGTTTGGTTTTTTTAATTGCGATTTGGGTCAGGTCCTAATCGGGTCAGGTTGTTATCAGTTTGAGTCATAATCATTTTGGGTTAAACCGGGTCGGTTAGAAAATGGGTTTAACAAATTTAATGCGGGTTTTTTTTCAAAACAGTTCAGGTTCTAATCAGGTCGGGTTGTAATCAGTTCATGCCATAATCATTTTGGGTTAAACTGGGTTAGTTTGAAAACGGGTTTTGGTTCAAAACAGATAGGGTGAAATCGAGTCGGGTCATTATTGGTTCAGATCATAATCATTTTGGATTGAACTAGATCGGTTTGAAAACGGGTTTACCTAATTTGAAGCGGGTTTTAGTTTAAATCATATCGGGTTAAAATCGAGTCGAATCATTATCGAGTCGGGTCAATCTGATAATGGATATGAACGGGTCAATTTATAATCGAATTAAGTCTTAAATAAGTTAGGTTTATCGAGTACTAGGATGAAACGAATCAGATCATAAACATATTGGGTTACAAGTTGTAAACGGCTCAGATCAGTCATAATGGGTTACAGGTTGTAAACGGTTTGGTCTCAACGGGTTACAGATTGTAAACGGTTCAGTCTCAACGGGTTACGGGTTGAAAAGAGTTTGGTCCTAAGGGGTTACGGGTTACAAACAGTTCAGTCACAACGGGTTACAGGTTGGAACAGTTCAGGTTTATCGGTTTTTGCTGGGTTTAAACGGTTTTCGGTTTAAAGTGAGTTGGGTTACTATCATGTTCGGACGTAATCGGTTAGGGTTGCTTTCGATTTTGGGTTTTAACGATTTGGCTTGTTTACGGGTCGGGTCATTAACGGTTTGCACAAATTTGGTTCAGTTTAGTTTCGAGTTGAAAAAAATTAGCTCAGGTCGGTTTTCGATTTTCAAAAAACGGGTTTTTAACGATTCGATTCCTTTTTGGATCGGTTCGAAATTGTCGGGTTTAACGATCTGGGTTCACGAGGCTAGTATATCATATCAGAGGACCAACTTATTAATTAATCAAAAGTTTAAAATAATAGTTGAAGCATGTGATGGTTTTTTGTCATAGTATTAGTTATAAATTTCCAAACTTGAATACTACCTCCGTTAATTATTAGTTGCAATTTCGGATATTATTTGTGAGATATAAAATATTCCAAAGTTGCAACTAATATTTAACGAAGGTAGTACTTAACTTTTGTAAAATCTGAGTACAAAATATATTACGGTGTACTTACCTAAAATTATCAACTTTTCTCCCAAAATATATAAGGCCAGCAGTATCATTTCTAAGGGACTACATAATAAGTGGAAAAATATACTTATGAAAAAACATACGATGACAGCAGCAATAGCATGGACAACAAGCTAGATTTCGACCCTACCTTTTCTTTTCAACAATCAGGATGGAGTTGAACAAGTTCTTACTGCACAACCTCATTTACCCTGATTATTGTTGGTAATCTTACATTCCTTAATAGCTACATAGTTGCTAATCAAAAGCTACTACTTGTGACGACCAAAATGGTTGAGTCCCATAGCTGAGCTAATTGACACAAAATTGGCAAGGTCTTGTGGCGAAAAGGGGCGACCGCTTCCATCGCCAGCTCCCATGCCAAGAAAGTCTCTAGTTTGACCATTTGAGACAGAAGGGAGCTTTTTAAGTTGGTTTGAAGTATTGTGCACCGAATTTGCACTCGAGTGCATCATCAACTGGCTAAGGTTGCTCACAGAAGTCGCATTCATGGCACCCATGTTTGAGCTCCCAACTAGACCAGTACTATTGCCACCAACACCACCAACACCTGCATCAGACGCCCTAGTATTGGATATTGGGGCGCCTGATAAATTCTCTTGATGATGAGTTGGGTCAACTTGGATATGGTATACTTGTTGTGGCTCATTACAAGTGATGTTATTGGTAGATGGTGAGCTTGTCATGACTCCAAGAGATGTACCAAGAAAAGAAGGGTTACTCCTTGTTGAACCCATTTGAGCTGCTTTTTGTAGGAGTGCGGTGGCTGACATGGGAGTTGAAGGGTTTGACGAAGAAGAAGAAGAGTTATTTTGATCATGTGAATATATAGAGCTCATGCCTTCAGCCATACCAGCATTGTTATTGTTCTCTCTTCCTTCTTCCTTCATCGCGGGCGGGAAGGATGATAGGGAGAGACTTGCAGTGATGGATGGAGTGGTAGCATTCCTGTCTAAGGATGAAAATTGATTGTTCATCATAAAGTTTGGGATGGAAGATGAGCCGAAAAGATTAGTCTGCGCTGCTATTTGCACCATCTCAGGAAAACCTACAAAATCCACTGACAATTTTTACTAGTCTCAATTGATTCACATATTTAAATTTACAGGTACCAGAAAACGTTAGTAGAAAAATGTGTTGTATTATAATTATAGTCTGTCATACGGAGTAATAATTTTTCAAGTTCATATATAGTTATCATTTGACTAAACGTTCTTAATGAAAAAGTAATAACGAAGTAGTATTACAGTACTTGTATTACTCCGTAGTGTACGAGGTCAAACCTTCTGCAATAATTACAACTTTCAACCCTTGATAAAAAGTTTTCCAGCATAAATGTTACAAATTTGTCAGTTCATTTTAATAAATTGCTAGATCAATCAATCGAATATTCTAATGATATAGTTTTATTTTAATAAATATATCTGTAATTTCATGAACGCTTACTTTTTATGAACTATAGGAGTAAATTATTTTGTAAAATTATATTGAACTAAGTTAAATTATATCTATAATTTTAATAAATGAAGAAAAACAAGGCCTTAGTTACTTAAAATTCTGGACAAATATACTAAACTCCATGTTAAATTATTAGCTAGGCTCATTTAGTATTAACAATTACATAGATAGTATGACAACAGACGATAGAGATTTACGAGTAAATTTTCTCTAATATGTTTAAAGTACACATGTTTTCAGTTGCTTATTAAAAAAAATACACATATGAACACTCGCAGCGCTCAAATGACAAATGGAAAGCTGAACTAACCTGATGTAAGAGTATTGCCACCGGCCATGGAGTTGAAATCGGGCCGGAAAAGCGAGTTAAACGGTGAAATTCCACCAGCATGATCTTGTATCCCTTGACTTACAAACTCGTGACGAAAACCGGGTTGAGGAGGAGGAGCAATTATAGGCTTATTATTAGTAACAGTTTTGAAACTTAGAGTTGGAGGTACAATTGATGAAGTAATCCTCCCATTATCTTCAGCTAAGGCATCACAAAATGCTCTATGTGTGATAAAACTATCTTTCCTACAAATTCATGAAATAAACCCAAAATCATTAATTATAAATTATACTCGTACTCTGTACTATATACTATATACTGCCTCAAAAAAAAAAAAAAATTATATACTATCTCCGGTTCATATTATTTAATAATCATTAACATTTTTTACTCACACTTTATATTAAATCGTTACAAACAATATAACTCGAAGGTAGAATATATATAAATATATATATATATATATATATATATATATATATATAATCTATTCTCCTTCACATTTATTGCACCAAATTTCCAAATAAAAGAAAAAATAAAATCTAAAACAAGAAAGACCAAGAATAAAATTAAATTTGTACATACCTAGAGAAAAGTGTACCACAGTCACATTTATACTCCCTAGTACCACAAGTCTTAGTATGAGCTTTCCAATCTGATTGCACTGCATATTTTTTAGAACATTTCTCGCACTTCCATTTTTTCTCACCGTGTTTTCTGCTAAAATGTTTTTTGATTCCGGTAAGATCACCGAGAGCTCGAGACGAGTCGTGGTGTACACATGTTTTCTCCGGGCATATGTATACCTTTTTCTTTACTTCTTTGTTCGTTCGTTGTCGTAGTTTCCATGGTAAATTGTGACCCCTCCGATGGAGTTGAAGATTTTGATCTCTTTGAAAACCTTTGTTGCATATTTCGCAAATGAATCGGTTTGTTGCCATAAGCGTTTTGGGTGATAAAGCGATGACTTCCGCATCTGGATCTGTTCATGTAATTCAAGATATTATATATACTTAATAAGATACGAACCAAAGCAATCATCCAATCATAAAAAAACAAAAATGAGCTTCATTCATCTACTTGAAAAATAATTATTTAAAAACTTGAAACATATAAATTGGTACTAAGGCTCTAACAAAAATCTTCTGTAGAGAGCTATGATAAATCTATCATGGAGATTAAAATAGAGGATTGACATAATTGTAACTTCGAGTATTTTTTGACTAAAAATGGGTTGGTTTTGAAATAAAAACACATCATCTATATTAAATCAGTTGTTCCTATCCATCATATTGGTCAAAAAGTTGCTCGAATCTCTATAAGCTAGGATTTTTTTTTTTTTTTTTTTTTTTTTTTTTTTTTTAAGGAAAGTCAATAAGCTAGGATAAGAACATGCAAGTATTTTTTCTCTTCCTATAATTACAAGCAAAGTTACTTCAACAACCAAAAGAAATATTATAGTTAAATGTCAACTACTAAGGCAAAACTCAAAAAAAGCTTTTAATAAATCAAATTATATATAGCTTTGCATCAAACTAGTAATCTATGAATAGCAAAAAGGGGAGAAGTCATAGTAACAAATTCAAGCTACAATAAAAAACAATTGGTAAACGATAGAGATGAGATATAATTACTTGCCTGGAGTTCCTGGTAGATTTCTCTTCTTCTTCGAAACCGGAGGATTATTACTATTATTGTTGTTCGAAGAAAGTTTAGGGTTAGAGTTATTGAGTAGTGGTTGTTGTTGAATAAGACTTTCATGAGGAAATCCTGTAATTGACGAACGTAAAGAAAAACCATCTCCAATACCTTGCAAATTCATTGTTATTTGCTTGGGTTTTGGAAGTTTATATCAAACTCCTGAAGAAAAAAAAAAAAAAAAAAAAAAAAAACAGCAAACTTCCAAGAAAAATCACTAAAATTTAAGAGGTCTGGTAAGAAAGGAAAGCAACAAAGATACTAGTATTAGTATGTATTTTGGGTGTATATATGACTGTTTCGAGTTAACTCGATTCGATCAAGTATTCAATGATCTGTTCGGATTATACCAAAACAACAAGAAAACTAAGCTAGCACTAAAACTAATTTACTACTACTACTATTATTACAATATACTTAACTTGGTAACTACTACCATCACTAGAATTAACTAATTAAGGCGAAAGCTCGAGTTGAACTGTTTTTGTTTTGATCTTAGCTTCGCCCCTTTTACAGGAAAACACCAAAATAAACTAGTATGAGAAGAGAGTATTGAGAGAATAATTGGTTTGTTTGTTGCCTTTCTTTGTTTCTAAACGTCGTCTTCTTCGCTTTTATCCAAGTAGTCGGTCGGTCAGCCATAGATTTAAAAAACGGAGGGCCTACTAATAGTTTTTATATTTATTTATGTATTTATTTAAAAATTTTGTTTGTCGATCTTCAGCTCGTGATAAAAAAGATATAAGGATTAGGTGTGAATACTGAGAGAGGCTGCTGTAGGGCGTGGGCGTAGGTGCTTGTAAATTGTTGTTCCCGGAAATGAGTAGGATTGTAGAGTGCTACAGACTCCACCAGTGTCTTTCTTATTGTCTTCTAGCTTAGTTTCTTCTTTCTTTTTTACTCCCTTTGTTTTTTACTTAGGAAAATTTAACAAAAACGAACCAATCTTTGCTCCGTTCTTTCACAATAGATAAACTTTTAAATCTGCCCAAAATAAACCTAAATTTATCTTTTTTTTGTCTTAGTAAACCCAAATGACCTTTGACCTATCTAACCGGTCACTTTTTCTATTTTCCTTTACTTATCCTTTTTAAATTAACAAAATAAATTTTAAAAAAAAAAACTCAAACCCTCCACCCAGGCACCACTGCCATCACTGTATCGCCACCGGCGTGTCTCCGACATCAAAATCCGCACTTACAGAGCTACTCGTCGACATCAAACTCCGAATTCCTCAAGTCCTCAGTAATAACCTCATTCTCAATCTCTTATGTGGAAATTCGCCATGTGCACAGCTGTAACAGTTCCCACTACCACCGCTGCCTCTACCACCATACCCACTACATTGGAACCAAAAAAGTACCGGTGAAACAATTTGGAGCGAAACTGGTTCTAATAGATAGAAACAAAACAGTAAAATAATTGTAAGATACGTCAAGCCTATAACAAAGATGATTTTGTTAATAATTATCCTTGTAAGATACGGTAAGCCATAAATAATGATGAACCAATTTCGCTCCAATTTGTTTCATAAAATTGAATCAAAAACTCTAAGCAAGATGGAACAGTGAGAGAGGAAGAGGAAGTGAAACATTTACCTCGTGGCTGGGTGGTTGTCGACGGTGGTTTTCCGGCGCGACGGAGAAGTATTAAGAGTGGAGATGGTGCGAGAGAATTTGAGAGGAAGAGTGAGGGTGGGGAAAGAGGGAGGCTGGGATGCCATGGGTGGGAGAGAGGGAGGGGTGGTGGTTGCCGGCGCCGGGAAAATTGGTTGAGCACCAGTTATGAGAATAAATAATTTTCAAAATTTTCAAAATGAAAATAAATAATTTATTTAAGTTATCAAAGTTATGAGAATTTTTTTAAAAATTATAAATAACCAATAAGAAGATGACAAGTGGATTGCAACCTGGTATAACAAGTTAACTTACCTGCTTGGTTTAATATGGGAGAAAATTTGGAAACTTAGGTTTATTTTGGGTAGATGTAAAGGTTGGTCTATTTTGAGACAACAAAGCAAAGGTTGGTTTGTTGTAATTAAATTTTCGGTTTTTTTTATTTGCATCGATAGCAAATGCACGGAGTTTTAGAATAATGAATTTGGTATAATATAATAATGCGAGTGATTGAATAATTTATTATGGTAAAAGTAATGTAGGGACATGAAAGTAAAAAGTATGTGAGAGAGTAGTGGGGATCATGAGAGAGAAATGATAAAATAATTTGGATGGAATTTAAAGTAAGATAGAAAAATAATAAAATATAGTATAAGATTACTATATATAGAAGTGATGGAAACAAATAAATAAAAACAACCATAAATTATAGGGAAGTGGTGCAAATTGAATTGAAAAAAAAAAAAAATAGTGCGTATATTTCAAATGTATTTTTAACCATATAATTAACCGTCTAAAGGATATTGACAGTGGTAAAGATAGAGGACTTTTGTATGTTAGGTAGTAGATTCAAATCTCTCTTACTCCTACATGTGTACTCCGTAGTTGACATTTTATTAAATGGGACAAACTATAGAAAAAGGAGGGAGTATTACTTATCACTCCATAATTATTCATCAATTACCCATGTCTCTAAAAGTTAGTTACATTTGGAATCTATGCATTATTTCTAAATTAAAGAAAAAATTTAAAGTTTTCCTTATACTCAAGAAAAATACAATTACATGGGATTTTGATTGACTCATCTTAATTACTACCTTAGTTTCACATTATATAATTGAATTTTTTATATCTCACAAAAAAAATACCTAATTATTGTACATAATGTGAAATAAAGGCTAGTATTTTTATTATATCAACCAAAATGTGCATTAAAAAATATGCTCAAATCCAAATGTAACTATGGCCCAGCCCGAAAAAATTGCAGGCTTGGGAAGACTTTAAAACTACAAATTTTTGCCTACACCCCATGGCAGGGAACACTGCCTGCATCCCCCACCCCCTCCCACCCACCCTCTATGCGTGCCCCGCCCCTTCTCTTTTCATTTATGAATTTTCTGTAAATTTTTATAATATGTTCATTTTTGTATTGATAAATGTTCATTTTTGTATCATTAGATGTTCATTTTTTTTAAAAGGAGTATTCTGCTCAAACTAATAAATATTCTTAATTGTATTTTTAGAATTTTCTATAAATAAAAATAAGAGCAAATTTATTTATAAGGATTACCGCATTCAAATTATTTTTATTATAAGAAGTATTTTGTCATCAAACATTCTTTTTATTTATTCATGTTTCAACAAGTGTTCATTTTTGTATCATCGAATGTCCATTTCAAGAACTTTGTGTAAGTAATACATTAAAATGTATGCAAATACATACATCTTATAATGTCCAATATAAAATAAATTTAATTCAATTACAATAATAACGCATTTCTACATTGTTACATGTAATTGTTTCATAAGCTTGAAAGTGAATCTTTAAATCCTAAATGTACATATGTGTAATGTGTCTTGTTAAATGAATATTATTTAACGCATTTGGTATAATAAAGTGTTTATAGATATATCTTCCTTGTTACACCTCTAATCATATGATATTTGTGTGTTTTCCTTGAAAAATATAATCTGAGCACAATATACATGTTGCCTTCAAGTTCCTTACTTGATTATCCTGTATATATATAATAAGAGATCAATTTTTTTAAAAAAAATAATAATAATAACAATCATGAACACATTACAAACAAAACTACGTGAAATTTCAGGTTTTAAATTGAACATTTACGCATGAATAATAATTAAAAATTCAAAAATGAACGCACTATAGATAATAAAGTAAAACTTTCAATATGAGAATGAAATAGTATAAAATCCAAATGAAAAATTTTTAATATATAAATGAACATGTATTAAATTCTAAATGAACATTTATTAATATGAATAAAAACATGTATCAAAATCCAAATGTGTATCTATTAATGTGTAAATGACCATTAATTAATAATCCAATAAATCAAAATACAACTTAATATGTATTGATATTATATGTGAATGAAATACTATAAGATTATATTATATTTAAATAATAGAATCATTATAGGTCCATGATGAATGAACAATATGTGATTTGTTTTTAAACATTTTCAAATATGTGAATGAACATATATACATTAATATATGTGTGAATATACATACATCCAAATGAACATTTATGTATCAATATTCGAATAAAACATCTATCAATATTACAGCTAAATTGTATGTAGTGTAATATTTAAATGACGATCATGAGCATACATTAATATGAAGATGAACATGTAATATTATAGTCTATGTGAATATCTTCGACATGAGAATGAACATGTACATATTTAAATTCAAATGAACATTTGTTTAAATCCCAGTAAACATTCATTAATATGTGAATGCTCATTTATTTTAAGGAGAAGGTAAACTGAATTAGGGTAGTCTTCTCAAAGACTAAACCCTTGTTGATTTAAGGTAAAAATGTGAATGATCATATACTAATATCATAATGAACATCTATTAAAATGAGAATAAACATTTATTGAAAATTCAATTCCACTATAAACTAATTTAAATCTCAGTAATTATACGAAAGCTCACCTAATTTAGAAAATTAGCACAATATACACTATATTCAATTTTTGGTGGCGAATAGTTACATAATTCCTTGTGCTTTCTACATATGTAACACAAAATTAGTAATTTTCATTATAAAATTAATTGAAAATTAAAAAATGAAGAAAAATAGGTGATATTATAAAATATAATAGCTCAATTTACTCAGAAAGTAAAAGTAACATTATTGAAATCTAAGAAAATATGATTGCAAAACAATTTAACATAAAAAAAATATCAAACACTTACATAATTCAATTACAATCATTATAAATTATAAACTCTAGAAAATTCGTTGACTAAGATACGAAAATAACTCAAATCTAAATAAAATAATTGAAGAATAAGGTAGAGATCAAATCAATTGTGATGCGATACCTTTGGCAAACAAAGTTTGTTTCCGTCGTCATCGTCAAACTCATCTCCCACTAGTAGAAAAACTTAAATGGGCGCCGCCAAATGCGCATCGATTTATAAAAATCGGTGCGAAAAAATATAGGCGGGATTGAGGGAAAGAGTTTTCGTACCACTTCTAACCAAAGCGGTGCGGAAAATGAGTTAATCGCACCGGTGCAAAAAGTGAGTAAATCGCACCGGTTCAGTTCGAACCGGTGCGAAAGTTGTTGTAAAAAAAAAAAAAAAAAAAAAAAAAAAAAAAAAAAAAAACCCGGTTATAATCTTCTTTCTTTCTCTTTCAATTCCTCGATCTTTCCTCCTTTCTCATCTACCTCTCTATCCTCTCTCTCTCCTCCATTGAAGCGTACTCGACATTCTCCATTGAAGGGGCTTTTGAGCTTTCTCTCAACACTTTCCTCAACTTCCTTCTCTCCTTCGATCTCCTTCTCCATAACCGCCACTTTCCCTTTCCTTTCTTCTCTCTTTCGATTTCCTTCTCCTTCTCCATAACCAAGCACAGCCACCATCGCCGCCACCGTCAATGTGAACCAAATACAACAACAACAACAAACTTGAGTCAATTATCGATTAAAAAATCACAAATTCGAGATATGTGCTCTTCGATTTGAAATCTAGGTTTTAGGTTTTGTAATTAGGGTTTATAATTTGACTCTGAATCTCCGAAATTGTTTTAGGGATGATATTGTAGAATACTGCGAATACTCTTCATGGTGGCGCAATTGCGTCTTTGGTGGATTTGGTGGGTTCGACTGTTGTTTTCCCTGTTGGAGCTCCGTCTAATGGTGTTTCTGTTGAGATCAATGTTTCCTACCTTGATGCTACACTTCCTGATGTATGTTGAGGGTATTTTTGGGGAGAATTCGTAATTTTGATGGATTTTTATTGCTTTAATGATGTTGATAAGTTGGAATTTGTATGTGTTTTGTATATTTTGATGTTTTAACATACTGAATTGTGGGAATGTTAGGGTTGAGCTTGTTGAAGTGATTTTATAATCTATAACTGTCATGTATTTGGACTTTAAATTTTCTTTGTTATGTAATCTGTACTTTTGTAGCAATTAGCCAATTAGTTTGCATTTTGCAGGTTATTTATAATTTTATTATTTTGTTTTTTTTGAAAATTAGTTGGTGAGTTTCCTTTTTATTTCCTTATATTTTAATCGTGGTGTTGCGAGTTTAGTTGTTGCGCGTATGGTGCTGTGCGTGTATTGTTGCGAGTGTGGTGCGCTGCTATTGCGTGTTGTGTGTGTTGTGTGGTGCTCTGTTGTGGGGTGTTGCTGTTGTTGTTGAGTGTGGTTGTTGTGTGCTACTTGTGGCAATGTTTTTTCTATGTTGATGATGATTACTATTATTGTTGTTGTTTAGTGATTCTTAAATATTATCACATATAAGTTATTGTCACATATCTATTGCTCATTAGTGATTCTTATGTTGATTGATCTGATAGAGGTTGCCTTTTGTTGATGATATGGCTGTTGGCAATAATATATTGTTGCTGGCCAGGGGATAGATTTTAAATGTGAAGAATGTTAGTTGTTGGTTCTGAATTTGTTGTTGTTGTTGGGTTGTGAATTAATACTGCTGGTTATGTTAGTACTTTTGTAGCTAGTAACGTTGATGATGATTACTACTGTTTCTTGGCTTTTGTTGGTATTGAAGTGATTTTTATGTTAATTGTTCTGATGGAGGTTGCCTTTTGTTGATGATATGGTTGCCAACAACTATATATTGTTGCTGGCCAAGGAATAGATATTGAATGTGAAGGATGTTGCTTGTTT